CCATCCAAACGCAACCTAAAGTTGTTTCAAACAAGGATAGTTCCCATCCAAATGCTTTACCTAAGCATGGTAAGGGTTATTATTGTAATTTACCTTATATGGTTCAAAGCTAACCATCCTTGGTAAGACTTTTGATGGAAACCGTCCATAGGATTCTTTTGAAACAACTTAAAGGATTTAGGGGTCTAATTCAGAGATACCAATATTTGGTGTCTTATATCATAAAAATCCAATCATTCATCTCTAATAATATGTTCTAACTATCTTGCATAGCGTGGTAGGGGTGTAAACAAGCGGGGATACACACACATGTGTGGCAACATCTTTGGCATACCTTACCAATTTAGAAGAACAAAGATATAATCCTTTTATTCCCATTGTTGTATCTTGAATCTTCTTGAAATCTTCTACACATTTACCTCTTATTTTTTGGCATTATCAATAGTGTGGTGGAGATTCTTTACAAAGTGCATTATACCTAGAATTCATCTTGTGAAAAGCAATTATTATTGTCAAAGAAGACCTTTTGATTTTGTATCTTCTATTAATGGCTAATTGGCTATGCTCCACATTTTTGACATAATTTCTCAAAGCATCATTAGCCTTCTCATTGGGTATCTCTATTCAAATTGGTCACTGTCAGAGACAGTTTGGTTGGGTACATGGTAGGGGTTCCAACACCTTTTTCCTACAACTATTTGAGTTTGCATTGAAACCCTAGAACTATTTTTGGCATAATTTCTCAAAGCTCCCTTGGCATTCTCATTGAGTATCACTGTACAGGTTGGCCACAATTAGAGACGATTTGGTTGAATACTTGGATAGAGGTGACAAACTCCAACACCTTTCTCCTAGAACTATTTGAATTTGCATTGAAACCCTACAATTACAGTCGAATGTAAATGGTTTCATGGGATTAGGACATGGCATTCCCACTTCAAGAGAGAAATGTCCTTACACGTTGTGAGTCTAGCAAGGTTATCGATAGCGGATAGCGTCGCGTAGCAGTGAGACATCGCTAAGGCTATTTCGGGCTATTACGGCAAAATAGCGGTAAAAAACGTAAAGTCAAATAGCGATCTAATATAGATATGTATAAATACTAAAAAAATTAAAGAAAAATCTAAGAAATCTAAAAGTACATATTGGATGATTTAAAGAGATCCTAAACATGAAATAGACATGTAACCATCACGTTATACCGAAGATGACTGGAAGAGTCAAAAAGTTATCGTCTTAGAGAAGAGCTTAGCGGTGACAGGACTATCCTAAGAGGAGTTCACGGTGAAGGAGGTGAGAGGAAGTATCAAGGTAGGTGCCAGAGGCTATAAAAGGTGACGGGAGTATGCTGAAAATCACAGGATACAGTGGAATGTAATGATCAAGGGTTGAGTTTAATTTTTAAAAAATAAGCCTCAAACCGCTTTTAAATAGCAGTCAAAAAGCAAATTTCGAATATAATCGTTCACTATTTACCGTTATAACACACTATTGGCCGCTTTTGTGAACAAATATATTCCGCAATATGTCACCGCTATTACGCGATAGCGTAGCGGACGATAGCGTCGCGGGAAGGGACCACTAAAGCTATTAGCGCCACTATTACGGGGCTATTTACCGCTATTTATAACAGTGGAGTCTAGTGACACAAGTCCAAGTTTTTCTTAATCTTCTCCATCATTTTAATGGAACCAACTTGCCAGATGTTAGAAGATAGAAACTTTTCATCCAATGGTAACTTCAATATAAATTTTTTATATCATTCTTTGGTAAATGCTAATTTGTCTTCTTGATATTTTGCATCATTTGGACAACACTAACCCCCTTAAGGTCCTATTACACAGAGTAGCTTCCCTATCATGATCGACGGCCTACTAGCGACAATCTTTTCAAATGGTGTTGGACCCAACATCAATTATGACCTTTGTAAATCTTCATGATACATATTTCCTTAATATTGTTTCTCCCTCTTGGTTTGGACCAATGTTTAAAAAAACCAGTTATATAACTCGTCTTGAAACTTAACGGTGCCCTCTTGTTATGTAAGACACTCATTTAATGCTGAAACTATTTAACCCAGAAAAACAAGTTATATTGCGTTAAATGTGCATTACGTTATATAACCAATTAACATGGGTTTTTTGGTTAGATTACATCACTAATTAGGACGCGTGGATGCATCTCTACCGTAAATCATTTAAACCCTACCCATTTTAGTCATGATCACCCTATTCTCTTCCTATGAATATGCGATCTCTTCACCTCCTACAACCCAAACCCTAACTCCTTGCCTCCTCTGAAGCTCCTCCAGCTATCGGCGACTTCTGCGACTCTAGTGAGGTAAATTTTTTATATTTTGGTTATGTATGGGCATCTTAGTTTATATTTTTTAAAAATAAATAGTGATTCTAAAATTATCTTCCAAATTCCAATCTTTTCTATTGACAGTTTACCATAAATCATATAAAACTTGTTACTCCATTACTTTACCCTTCAACATAATTTTTTAAGAACTCTCACAAAATTAGAGTACAAAGATTAATTAGTGGTTTCATTGTGTTGGTGAGATAATTACTTTTAATTATTACTTGATTTTGATTAGGTTTTAGTTTTTAAGTTTCAGCTAATACTAGATTTTGTGAAATTGAGTTTGCACACAATTTTTATATACGCAAAATTTCTTACTATTGTTACATAATCATGTTTAGCTTGGTTGATGAAGTGAACTTGATTAGGAATTTAAGAGCTAGAATTGTTTGGTTTATTTTGGACTAATTTTTATTGTCTTAAACTTGACGATGTTAATGTATTTGATCATTTGATGATGCTTTTTTGAATGGTTGTTAGTCATATATGACTAACTTTTATCACGAAATTGTGATACTATATTTTATATGAATTATTAGTATTTATAAAATATCTAAATAATTAATAAATAATATAACATACGTTATGCATCATGTTTTTTATGTTTTTTCCTTTAACCCTTAACAGGAGGTCAAGCATTACATAACTCATTTTCATTATTTTCAACATTGGTTTGGAAATACTTTAAAAGAAAGTTCAATCTCACACCTTAGCCAATCGCAATAGAAGAGTTTTGGACTTCCTAGTGCTTGAATGCAAGACCCATTAACAGAAGAAACGAATAAGACAATGTGGTTATTGCATATCGTTAGCTCATTTTTTCAGAGAACCATACTGAGGAAGATATTAGAAGAAACACTTCATGTTTAATGGAGCTGTGGCTTAATCATTTGTCCTTGCATCGAAACAGGAAGCCCTAAACAAACTTTACTTTTTCCCTTCCCTTCATCCCCATGTATTTCTATGATTCTATCTTTGTATATATTAGAATACTTTATTCTCTATACATCACATGCCAAGACCTTTCCTCAGAAAGAAATAGATGAGCATGAACATTGATGTAGATGTCACATGGTCATATAGGTTTCAAAATACTGACATCGTCATTTTTTAAGATTTCACCGAAATATTTCCTTTCATTGTTTCAAGCTCATGATGGAGCACCAAAGTGGTCAATTCTGATTTGTTTTTGATAAGATAACCAGATACACCCTAGAAAACCACGTATACAAGTAATGTTCATTCATCTTTCCAATTCAAATACATCCAAGAAAAACCATTATCCCTCTGTGATGGTACTATCAAAGAAAATCTTTTAGCAAAGAAGACACCGAAAACAGAGAAAATCTCGGTAGCTAATAATTAATTTTTCATAGAAAAATCTAAACTGGAAATTAAACTGGCAATCAATGTTACATTAAACGCTGGGCGTTTCTAGGCGTCGGACTTAGCGCCTAGCGCTTAGTCGCCTAGGTGGCGCCTAAGCGGTTTCTGGGCCTTTTTTTTTAATTGTGATACTTGAAGATAAATATATATACTCAATCAAAGATGCAAAAATACTAAAATACCAATACTATTAACTAAATTACTTGGTTTACCAATTACAATAGCTCTTTGTATATTTATACTTCTCAACTCAAATTATAAGTTCATCTCAACTCAAATTATAATATGTATTAAATTCATATAAATTTTCAAAAATAGATAGTAATTTTTAGTTCCACAATAAATCATGCATACTTAGATACTAAATAGCCAAAATAATAATTAACAAGGCTAGAGCCTAAGATGTTTTCTTTTTTTATTTTTAATTACAATAATTGATAGTGAATATCAATGTTAGAGAAAGCTTAGATGCCGGACTGGTGTCTAGGCGGATTTCTTTCTTCATTTAAGTGGTGGTCGATGAGGTTTTGTTGAAGGTCAGAGGAGGTAGTAAAGATGTTCATATTTGGAGGTTAATGAAGTTTGGAGGACATGTAGGCTACAACACATAAAATCACAACCAAGGCCTACAGGGTACAATCCACGTAAACAGACAATGCTCCCCTAAACGCTCGTAAAATCTAGGTGGACAACCTAAATACCGCCTAGACGCTAGTTAGACGGCCTAGGTACCACCTAGGCCTAGGCGAACGCCTAAGCGGACTAGACAGAGGTTTTTTAAAATAGTGCTGACAATTAAACAAGACATGATGAATGTGGTTATTGCATATTATTGGCTCATTTGGACATAGGATTGTTATCCAAACCATTATAAAATCTTGCGTGTCATTGGTTGTTTTTCGCTTTTATTTTATCTATTCCATTGAATATTCTGCGTTTTTAGCAAAAAAAATTGTAGCAACACTATTCCACAGGCCCCCACAGCCCCCCTCCCCCGGAAGCCACCCCCCGACTTGGCATCTCAGATCCAAACATGATGCGCTTACAGCCGCAACTGAAACCTTTCACAGTAAATGATTTTTCTATATAAGAAATTCAAGGTAAGTATACCAACAGGAGTATACACACTCATCAAACTGCAATCTAACATCATTATTTGCGTGATACAACGCATTTCATGATAGCCCAGCATTGCATAATTGGAAAGGAGGAAAATAACAATAAAGAATGTAATACTTAGATCTTACCAATTATGTTTGGGATGTAAAAATACACCGATACTGTTCTTTGATCTGATTCCTTAGCCATTTTTTACTTCTGAAACCTCCTCACTCGCTCAGCTCACTACTGAAATCACCTGAGATCATCGATAAGCAAAAAATGATGCCCTTAATTTAAAGAAAAACGAAAGGAAGAAAAAATCTTTTTGGTGAATTAATTAAACCAAAAGCAAGTACAGAAAACCCTAGAAGCGAATAGAGCATGAATCAAGCAAGGAAATTGAAAACAATTGGGAGAAATGAGTTTTGCGGAGGTGATCTAGGGTTAGGGCATCGGGGACTTTGCCTGGATTTGGACGGCGATGAGAGAAGATGAGATCGATCAAGGAATTTTATCGACATGGACGAAGATTTCAGAAGAAGTGGGGGGTATAACTCGTTTACAGTTTCAACATTTTGCCTGGTCATCTCCGTGTCATTAACCGCCGCGCTTATTTGACATCCTTGCATTACATTATACATTTTACATTTACATTTTATGGCTAAATTGCACTTAAATGCCTTAAAGTTTCACTAACTTCGCACTTTAGTCTTTTCTTTTTAACCGAGCAAAAAAATCTCAAAATATTTAAGTGTTATAAATTATAAATAAATACCTGGCAGCTTAAAAAACAAATGGTGTTAATTTTTCTCTACGTATCCACAAATATTACATAACAGAGGGTACTAAAATGAAACTTTTAGAAACTTTAACTGTGTTTGGATGAGGGGTAGCGAACGGCAAGGGGGAGAAGGTAACTCCATTTGCGAGTTTTTTTAAGAAAAATAACGGAGGTAAGGGAAGTAAAATTTTCAATGAAATTTATGCCCCTCACCCTCCTAGACGTTACGTGTGTTTGGATGACGGGTAGCTAAGAGTAAGGGAAGAAAAGTTAACACTTAACTCCACTTGAAAGTTTCTTAAGGAAAATAATAGACGTAAGGGAAGTAAAATTTTCATTAAAATTTGTGGGTCCCCCATCCTCCCAAC